AGTTAGACTGTTAAATGCTTAGTCATGCTTATGAGTTTCTACAGGGTGCATCTTGTCAAGGATAACTAGAGAGAAAAGTTGATGACTGTCAGCAGACAGGATGTTTAATATTATTATTATTATGACATGTAAAACTGTAGCCTTAGCCATAATATTTTCTTATGTTTAATGTCATGACATGTCACTAGAGGTCGTGTGAGAATGTTTTTAGCTACACACCACTTAATCAACAAACACACACGCACATTCATTTGCTTCATGTTTTGACTACTGCTATGGCCAGCTGCAAAGCTGGCACCAGAGACGTTGCGGTTGACGTTTCTGTGTAGAATGGGGCTAGCCCAACCGAAGAAATATAATGTACAGGCCTGTTGGGTTCAGGGGTCTTTCATCTGCCTGCGTGCAGGTTGGAGGTGCAAGATGCCTGAGCGTGTAATGTTAATTTTTACCTGTGTTCATGGAATAAATCAGCACTGTTTTGTAGTTACTTGGACTGCCTCGTCTCTCAGAGTCCGTATGGTAAAAAGTACCGGGTACAACACTTGTTTATACAAATTACAGCTGTATTGATGACTGTCCAGAACTACTGAGTTTTGGTTATTTTAATACATTTATTTCCCTTGCTTATATTTATATCTTACAACTGTAATGAAGTAGAATCTGTTTACTTTGAATGCTATAACTTCTGTGTAGAGACAGGATGTCTGCATCTCCTTGTGGCCAGACAGCCTATTGACATTTTAGCAAAGGCCTGTTTTACACTCACACCTCGACCCACTTAGCATATCCCAAGCTTTGCTTTGTCTTGGGATGTCCTGCAGAGGCCAGGGGCTACAACCTGAGATGACCACCTGGCCAGTTTAACACACTTATTAGCATCACACACACAGGGGGCCTGCAACTCAGGCCACCCATTGATGAGTGCACCGAGATCAAGATGAGGGTGCCGGAGACACACACGCACACACACACACATCTAGACTTTACCACATTCTAACAAGGGGGGGGGGGGCTCCGGTTCACACCAAATGGACAATAGGACCAAAAAGCTGTTTAATATTGTAGTCTAAATATAATACTACCCCCAATGAGTGAAAGAACATCAGTCTACTAACAGATGATAATCACAGACAGGCCTATAGACCTAACCTCCTTCACTGTCAGGTCCATGGAAGGGGCCTGCCTGCTGAGAACGTAGGCCTACGTCAGACCCAGCCCAACAGAATTTCTCACAAATAGAAACTCTCTGAAGTAAACCCCACAGAGTCTTTCATTTACACAGGTGTGTGAAACGCAGTGCAGACTGTCTATGATGCAGGATTATTCTCCGAATGTCTTGGGAATAATGCTGAGAGTTATTAAATAGGCTACATAACTTTACACAGAGTCTTCACACAGAGACTACACAGGCCTACAGTACGACGTAAGAGTCCCACTAGCGTCATAAAGTCACCACAGACTATATATTTCCAACACTGTAGCTGCGGTTACTTATCACCAATGAGCTAATCTGTGTGAATATTACACATAATACAGGCTGCTCTGTGGGAGCGGGCGCAGCGGCACTGTCTGCGCATGCGCACGATAAAAAGAAAAGGAAAAAATAAGGCTTGATTTTGGTGTTATTTTTCTCGTTGACGTGATTTACCATGTTAAAAAGAAAACAAAATAAATATACGGTTTCCCCCTTTTTCCACGTCTTCAAAAACGATATTCTGAACCATTTATCCTTTTTTGTTTTCAGGCTAAATCATATGACTATGTAAAGGCATGATATACGGGCCAACATTCCTGTGTTAGTTTAACTTTCTCCGTTAGTCTCGTGAAGATTATTCAGGTGTAACAGACCTATTCCGTGTAGCTTTACTTCTGGTTTCCAAACGATATCCAGCAGTCTGCGCTGACGATCGATCTCCTGCTCGTACTCGACGACAATTTTCTCAAAGACTCCGAATATTTCTTCAACAGCAGCAGTTAGTCGCTCGGTGACAAACTCTCTCAGATAGTGAACTGAAGACATTGTTGATTTATTAGGAGAGAAGTATTTATTCGCAATAAAACGACAACACCGTCTTCTACTACCTCCACAGAACTAACGCAGCTCCCGCTTTGTTTGCCTATTTCCGCCGCATGTCACACTGTAACATTTCGGCAGTGGACAGGAGTCAGCTTTTTGTTCCGTTAAACTTAGTGGACAAAAATTGTAATAATTACCTGCTAACTGTAACAAAGTTAGTGCATATAGCAATAAATAAATAAATAACTTAAAAAACAAATATATCATTTTTTTTTCATTTCAGCATTTAAGATTTCACAACTATCTAATTTAAATGCAATCTTAGTCACTTTAGTAAAATCGGTCATGTAAATGTAGCTTACTCAGTTACACTCCACATCTGTAAATATACTTGTTCAAGATGAAGCACTTAGTTTTACATTACCACGTTAAAAACACAATGATAGAATAAACAGACAAGAACAGAAAAAAAGCATTTTTGCCCACACTTCTTTGGACACTGATCACAGTAGCATTAATAGCCCCTGATTTGCCATACACCGGGAGCCAGCTGGGACCTGACATAAAAGCAAGACAAGTTTTATTTGTAATATGCACAGTTAGAAAACGTGTTTCCCTGTACAATGAAATTCTTACTTTGCCATCCACATGAATGCCACAAAACACAAATGAAATATAAAGTAGATAAATAAGTAACACAAAATCTAAGGCACTTTAAAGCAGCAAATGCAGAGATATAATAAAAATATATGAGTGTAATAAGAGAATGTATGCTGCATGGGAGCAGCATGTGCAGCAGGCAACAGGCAATGTGCAGTTATGCATGTGCAAACCGAAAATGTAAACAGTACAGGTCGACATTACATGACGTAGTTCCTGGTAATAAACTCCTGTCAGCTGTTTAGGAGTCTGATGGCAGAGGGAAAGAAAGAGTTTTTCAGTCTGGATATGACAAATAAACACTTTGAATCTTGAACCTTTGACCCTAGATGTCCTGCATTTCACTTCTTGGCCAGCTGTGTGGTGTTAAGTGTCCAAGTGAGGTCGTCACTGATGTGGACGCCCAGGTATTTGAAGCTGCTTGCCAGTGGTGCGGTGGGTAGAGCAGTCGTCTCCCAACCGGAAGGTTGAAGGTTCAGATCTCAGTGCTTGCAGTCCACATGTCGAAGTGTCTTTGGGCAAGACACTGAACACCTTGCCTGTGATGGCCGTGCGTATGCACGCAGTGGCCCGGGGCCCTCGGCTCCAAACATTGTTTCATTGTACGTGTTACAATGACACTTCGAGCCCCCAGATGAACAGTGGCTGATAAGTTCTCCTCTCCTTCCTCACGTCCACTATCATCTCCTTCGTCTTGTCCGTGTTGAGGCTGAGATTATTGTCCTTGCACCATGACACCAGACCGGCCACCTCCCTCCAATAGGCTGCTTCGTCCCCGCCAGTGATGCGACCTATCACTGCGGTGTTGATTGATTAGAAACATACATTTAAATGTACTATGTTTACTTGATAACAGGTGGGTGAACATGCTATCTAAATCAAAAAGCAGGAATACATATCTCAAATTCTCATAGGAATCCAACAGCCAATGGCATTGCAGTTAAACAGAACAGGAAGGTCAGCACACTGTTAGATGCATCAGCCACTCCACGTGCTTTTCTCTGTGCTGTAGCTGGAGGTCTCAAAGCGGGTGTAGAAGGTGTTGAGGTCATCCAGCAGGCTGTCTGTGGAGCTGATGATGCTGGTGGTGGTCCTGTAGTCTGTGATGTGCTGCAGGCCTTGCCACATCTGTCCGGAGTCAGCAGTAGAATAGAAGCCATTCAGCTTCCCTCTGTCCTGCCTCTTGGCCGCTGTGATGGCTTTCCTCAGTCTGTACTTCCCAGCTTTGTACTCCGTCTCATCACCCGATCTGAATGCATGAGAGCGAGCACGTACCTGACTGTTTATCCAGGGCTTCTGGTTGGGGAACCTCCTGACTTGTATGGTGGGCACAATGTTGTCGATACAGGTACTAATGTATCCGGTCACATACTCAGCATAATCCTGTACGCTGACAGAAAAGTCCTCTGAGGTGGCTGCAGCTTTAAACACATCTTAGTCTGTTTGGGCGAAACAGTCCTGCAGGGTGCCCTCAGTCTGAGAGGTCCATAGTTTAATTTGCTTGGTGACAGGGTTTGTTTGTTTCAGTCTTTGTCTGTAAGCTGGTTACAGGAACAAAGAAATGTAGTCTGAGTGTCCAAGGTGGGGTGCGGCCCTGTATGCACCCCGTGTGTTACTGTAAACATGATCCAGAGTGTTCTTGCCCCGAGTGGGAATGTTCACATGTTGGTAATATTTGGGGAGTACAGTCTTTAAATTGCACTGGTTAAAGTCACCTGCAGCAATAAATACAGCATTGGCGTGAGCTGTCTCTAGCGTGTTGATGGTATCATAGAGTTTACTGAGAGCAGCAGAGGGATTAGCTCTTGGGCTAACATACACAGCAGCCAAAAACACAGCACTGTGCTCTCTTGCTAGATAGTAGGGCCGGCATTTCAGCAGTAAAAACTCTACATCTGGCAAACAGTGCTTATAAACAGTCCATACATCTCCACACCATGAGTTATTAATGAACACACACACACACCACCTCCCTTTACCTTCCCTGAAGCAGCAGTGCGGTTGCTTCAATGTACAGAATGTGTTTGTAGCTGAATCGCTGAGTCTGGAGCTCTGTCAGAAAGCCAAGTCTCGGTGAGAACTAGAACACAACATTCTCTGATTTCCCGTTGTGCTGTAATCCTAGCCCTTACCTCATCCAGTTTGTTTTCCAGAGACTGTACATTAGCTAGGAAGAGGATGGGTAATGGCCGTCGGGTAGCACAAGCTTTTAGCCTATTTTCTATTAAAAGCAAGACAAGTGAAAAATGTCAGTAGGTGACCCAATAGAAATGGATCGCAAGTTGGCAGAATAAAATGCATAACAATGCTGTCATATGTGAATTGTTTTCCAAATCAAAATAGAAGAATCCTCTTTTATCTACAAGGGTCTGTTCAGTTCAGATGCTGTGTGTGAGGCTTGCTCTCTCTCTCACCTCAGCCTTATTGAAGGTTGTGAGTTTTCCCAGTGAGCCTATGTGTTTTTCTTCCCAACTGCTTAGTCCTTATCCAGCCTACAGATATTAAACAGGACAGATGAGGCAAAAATGATGAACTCTGATGAA